GGGGCTCTGAGCAACCTGCTCTAGCTGGGGATGTCCCTGCTCAGGGCAGGGGGTTGGACTTGATGACCTGGAAAGGTCCTTTCCCACCTAAACCAGCCCGTGGTTCTCTGCAGCTGGCTCTGGGACAGCAGTGAGAGCAGCCTGGGACTCGCACTCAGTTCTGGAGCCCCTCTGCTTTTCATCTGACTGCTGAAATTGTCCAGGCTGAGCCAACAACAAACCTGCTACCTCGATTTTTCTTCCCTTTTCCCTCTCCAGAAGATTTCCCTGCGGGCCAGCGTGAGCCTGCAGGGGCAGACCCTCTACAACACCCCGCGGGGCTTCGCCACCGACGAGCAGACGCTGCTGATCGCCGGGAGCATCTAATGAAGGTGAAGAGAACAAGTTCTCAGCCTCACTCAGGAATTTAATAGCAATAACCGTTGCTATTTCTAAGCATTTCTTTTATATATATAAAAAAAAAAGCATTGATGAAGTGATTGTATCCTACTTGACCTAAAGTGCTTCGCTATTAACCTGCAGCCACACAAACGGTGTCAAGTGTTGTAACCAGGCCTGTAACATTTCTACACGTGCCACTGGCATGGAAGAATTAAATGAAGGTTATTAAAGAGTCGTCTCCTCTTTCCTTCCACCACACCCAGTTCTACCTCCCTCAGCCCTCCTCTTCCTCTCTCCTGTTTTTCTCGGTCCTTTTTGGCTGCCTGGAGCCCCCAGCCCAGAGCCAGGCTCCAGCTCCCTCCCTGGGCCCCTGGGGGTGACCACTGACCTGCAGGCCAGAGTGGAAGGGCCCCAAAGTCACCTCGACCTCTGAGCAAATGACAAGGAAAATGCTCTAAAACTCTAATCCAGTCCAGCTCCTCCAGCCCAACTGCACCACTCATACCCTCCCCAATGGTGGAAACAGGGGACTCGGCCCTTCTCACAGAATTATTTGGGCTGGGGGATGCCTTAAAGACCACTGAGTCCAATCATCCCCCAGCACTGCCAGGTCCCCACTGCCCCGTGTCCCTCACCCCACATCTCCATGGCTTGGGAACCCCTCCAGGGGTGGGGACTCCACCACTGCCCTGGGCAGCCTGGCACAGCCCTGGGCGACACTCCAGGGCAAGAAATTGTTCCTCAGGGCCAACTGAAACCTCCCCTGGGGCAACTTGAGGCCCTTTCCTCTTGTCCTGTCCCTTGTTCCTTGGGAGCAGAGCCCGACCCCCCCCTGGCTCCAGGCTCCTGTCAGGAGCTGTGCAGAGCCAGAAGGTCTCCCCTGAGCCTCCTTTGCTCCAGGCTCAGCACCCCCAGCTCCCTCAGCTGCTCCTCCCCACACTTGGGCTCTAGACCCTTCCCCAGCAGCTTCATTGCTTTTCTCTGGCCACACTCCAGCCCCTCAAGGTCCTTCTTGGAGGGAGGGGCCCAAAACTGACCCCAGGATATGAGGTGTGGCCTCCCCAGTGCCCAGTCCAGGGGGATGATCCCTGCCCTGCTCCTGCTGGCCACACTAGTGCTGATCCAAGCCAGGATGTTGGTGGCCTTCTTGTCTGGCTCATCTTCAGCCAGCTATTGACCAACACCCTCAGAGCCTTTTCCACCAGGCACTTTCCAGCCCCTCTGCCCCAAGCCTGGAGCTCTGCAGGGGGTCGTTGTGACCCAAGGGCAGGACCTGGCCCTTGACCTTGTAGAACCTCACCCTGCCAATTAAGACTGGCCAGATCCCTCTGTAGAGCCTCCAGCAGACCAAGATACCCACCTGACCTCTTCTGGTCTGCAAACAGACTCGGGGTGCTTCAATCCCCTCATCCAAATTGATAAAGATGTTAAAGAGAACTGACCCCAGTACTGGGCCCTGGGGCCACCACTTGGCACCAGCCACCAACTGGATTTAACTCCATTCACCACAACTCTTTGGGCTTGGCCATCCAGCCAGTTTTTTACCCAGAGAAGAGCACACCCACCCAAGCCATGAGCAGCCAGTTTCTCCAGGAGAACACTGGACAGGTTCATCCACGAGTCCATGTGCAGAGTGTCCCTGTTGGACAAATCTGGGAGGAATCAGACTGCGTAGCCCGTGTCCTGCTCAACCCAGGGGGAAGCACCAGCCCTTAAACAAGCACGGAGCATGACACGTGTCCTGGTAGCCTTGATGTCCTCACTGCTCCAAATACAGTCTCCAACCCAAGAGCCAACTGCTCGTTCCTCTTGCTGCTTCCAAAATCTGTCACAGGGTGCTGCCAACCCTCCACCTGACCTTGCAGCTGGTCAGGGTGCTCCAGAGGCTGAGCTCCACCAGGATTTCAGTGCTGGACACCCAGAATTCATGCCAGTGGGTTTATATTGAACATTTTCATAGGGACAACCTCCCCCACACCAGAGTCATGTCTGGATCAATCCTTAAAAACACACATTTGCTCCAGTGCTACTCAAGTAGAGAAGTATTTCATTACAGACAGATCTACAGAACTTACCAACAGCTGCCTCTGAGCCTTGTTTCACAAGAATCCTAAATTATTGCTGGAGCCTGCAGCTCCATAAGCTCCAGCCCATGTTTCCTCCCACATGAGAACACCTTATGCTGCGTCCTCCCTTCCCTGGAGGGGCAGGTAAAGGACCAGGAGAGAAATTTAAACTGGAGGCCTCTTGGAAATCCCAGCAGCTGCCCTGGGCAACTTCTTTCTCCCAGGATTAAAATCAGAGATTAAACTGGGATGTCTCCATCGCAGTTGTGCTCTGCTTGCACTCAAAGCCCAGCTCAGCCCAGAGCTCAAACAGTTCACGCAGGAACAACAAGCTTTGGAGCCAAAAATCTGCCAAGCTACCGAGGCCAGCTGAGTAAGAGGCCAAGTAGACGTGATTAACGTGGAGACACAGAGACCCCAAGGGCTCTATAGCTCAAAGAACATGTCAAAGGCTTTGCTCAGGTCCAG